ATAGATCTCACGAAATGGTGTATCGAATCATCGTTGAACGGTTGAACGTTGACGGATGCGGAAGAAGAAAGAGAGATCGATCGGTGGGTGGCGGTGAGCGATCGGTCGCGTGCGGTCGTCCTTGGAGATGGTGGTTGTTCGATCGAACGGCGCGCGATCGATGGTAAAAAGTTAAAGGAATCGTTATCGATTCGATATTACCGGAGCGAAACGCACCGAATACCGTATTAACGCCGATACAGCGCAACCAAGCAAGTTTGTCACTTTATATAGCGTTTCAAAGGCCCTGGTAGATTGTGTACACGAGGTGGAGAGCGTGCAAGGGACACTGAGAGTACAGATTCTCGAGGAGAGACGTGGTTTGGGGAGAAGGGGAACCCCTCGTGTACCGCTAATCCGGGCGTAATTGAACAGCTCGCTGCCATTATGTCTTACGTCCGCGAAAGATTAATACGAACGCGAATCTCCAACCGTGATCTTGTGCAACTTTCATCTTCCCTTCCTCTCCTTCGCCCTTTCTTCCGTCCTTTTCCTCCCCCTCCCCCACCCCACATCACCCCTCTTCCTATCACTCTCCTCTTTCGATAATCTTCCGATAAATCGTTTCGAAACGAAACACCGGGTCCCGTATCGCTCCTCCTTCCTCCTCCCCCCCCCTCCCCCCTCCCCTTTATACTTGTCCTCGCTAAAATTCGTATCCGTGAACGTATCGTATCGTAACCATCCGATCGATCTTTATCGTCGATGATTGAGAATCTCGCGAGATCTCGTCGAGAGAAGGAAAGAGAACGAGAGAGAGAGAGAGAGAGAGAGAGAGAGAGAATCAAGGCCACCAACCGACGACGCGATATAGTGGCATCCGTTTCTTATTTTTTTTTTTTTTTTTTTTCGTTCATTTTTATCGCTCGATCGAATTTTGCACTCGCACTCGATCGGATTCCGGGAAAACGATTCCGCGCGAGCACGAGATCGATGCGTTCGTGCACGATGTGTCGAGAACAATGTAACGGTGACGTAACGGCGAGAAAGCTCGATCGACCAATCAACTTTTTGAAGTTGCCTCGAGCCTGAGAGAGGTGAGAGAAAAGCTTGATTCCTTCCATTGGTTCGAGATACGATTCGAGCGCGTGCTCGTTCCATCTCGATTCCCACGTTCTGTGCACGTGGCGAGCGAAGAAGAATAAGTAATTTTGAAATTTCTTGCGTCTAACGCGTGATCGCGTTCACGTTTCACCGATATAAAATTATGATCATTGCCTGTGATAATGATAATCACGAACACGATTATCTTCGATACCGCCGCGCTCCTTCTTCTTTTATTCGATCGATCGTATTCCCTTTCCCTCGCACGCCCGACTTTTCTTCCTTTCTTTTCCTCATCTCCATCTCCTTTTTCCTTTCCCTCTTTTCTCGCTCGTCGGGTATCGTTTTATCGCGCGCATTAACAACAGAGACGCGATTTAACGATTTACCACGATATCGAAAAATGTGCTTTTTCGAAACACATTTAAGATAACGTGTTTTATTAAGCGTGCAATAAGCGACAATTATCTTCTTTCTTCTCCTTTTTCCTCTTTTGTTTCGAAAAATATGGAATCGATGGAACGATATTTTCCCCGATTTGAAGGTATTAAAGGCTGGATTATTTTCTCGGTTCTTGTTGTTGTCTCGGGGAAATACGAGAATACGAAGCTTGAAAATAAATAAAATTTTGTTATTTCCTTTACGATCTGACAGGAGAGTTTTGAACGAGTTCTATGCAACCTTGTGTTTCTCGTTTTTAAAATAGCCAGGGAAAATCATTCGCTTACAAAAATTTGCGTTTTTATCTCGCTATTTTTCAACGATCGTAAAATCGTAATGAGATTAAATTACAACGTACTTATGTATCTACAACGAAATACGCGCTTATTCTTTTTTAACGATAATAATTAAATATATTGTATGCATCATATATATATATATATATCGATGCCGATTATACGATTATAAGGTGATGTAATCGTAAAGATTACTAAATTATATAATTATTATTAAATATTTAATAGAATCGATTATCCAAAGCGATTATTACAAAAGGATGGAAGCGATCCTATCGCACATGATTCTATGAATAATTTCTCATACATTATGACGTGAGAAATTTTAAAAGATAACTGAAAAGAAACGAATCTTCACTAATACTTACTTACTTACTTATTTGCGATTTAATTTTAATAAAAGTTTATAAAGCTTGCACTCTTGCTCGTTCGATCCTCGTTTACGAATACCCATGTTTATCCATCCATACCATTTTATTTAGCTCATGGCTCGCAGTTTCGGAAAGATCAATTCGAAGTGACGATCTGAAACAACGAGAATCTCGATCAATTTTAAATTTTATAGAAAAAAAAAAAAGACGAAAGTTGTTGGAAAAGTTATTCGAAAACGATTCGAGATAACGAAAAAAATCATGTTCGATCGGTTGGAAATGATAATTCGTTGATATTGTTTCATAATCCATTGCCAACTAGATACCGTGTCCACGAGATATCCACGAGTAATCCATAATCGGAACAATCTTTAATCGTTTCTTTTCATTTTCCAACCTTTCCCCAAACCTTTTTTCTTACCATTCTCGAGTTTAATTCTATAATACGCGCATTCTATCGACCAAATTACAATTTTCATTTCTTTTACTCTTGTTTTTTTTTTTTTTTTTTCGAACACGAGCATTGCGAGCAAATTTTTTTCCAAGTCTTTTATCATCGTGCATTCAAGCGTGCACGAACAGATACGCGTCAAGTTATTCTTTCGATCCGCGTAATTTTACACGCATATTTATCTACAACAGATTTTAAAAATTCTTACATTCGTTGTAACAAAACGGAAAGTAGAAGAGGAAAAGAAGGGAAGAGAGAAAAAGAAGAAAGAGAAGGGGAGAAATGAAAACGTAAAAGTAAAAATAAATTTGATTGAACGGTGTTTCTGTAACATTTCATTTATATATTCTATAGTTTCTCACGATCACCGCTTAGAATTATCGCGATTCCATTCTAGAGCGGGTCTCGTGGATAACAGTGAGCGAGAATAATACGTATTAACGAGGTAAGACGCAATTGTTTAAACATGTATTAAAATACAATGATCACAGAGCGACGGAAACGATAGTTCGATATTCGCGTGCGCGATATGTCTCTGCTTATTTATAAAAATCTACAGATTATTTCTCGACAACGCAAATTATAATGGTTGTTTCCATCGCAAAATACTTTAGAAAATATATATATATATATATATATACACACACATACACACATACATATATATATATATATATATATATTGATTCGCAGATTTTTTATCCTCTCTATGTACATTGACCATTTTTCGCAAAATCGCTATACTTTCTATATCGTTTGCACCATTTGTTTTCAAATTTCGTTTCGAATTTTTGTTCGAATCGATTGCTTTGCTTAAAATTACTCGATCAAAATTACTTCTTAGATCTAGACGTGTAAATTTTAATTGGCACATGTTCACCATTATGAATAGATATACGTATATGTATGTCTTTTCGCAATTCGGAAATTTTTGTATAAAAATATCATTGAAATTGTCCGCTCGAATCGAACGTCATCAAGTTATTATTCTATTCGAATATTATCGGTTCATCGAGATTTGAAACCGACGTTTGAAGCGACGTTCGCGTCCTCGCGAGGAGAGAGAGAGAGAGAGAGAGAGAAAGAAGAAAAAATAACGAAACAAAGATGTGGAAAGAATTTTTTAAATAAATGATTGAAATATCGCTCGATCGATGATACGAAGCGAAGATGAGCGCAATTTGCGAATGAAAAGAATCCCGCTTTAATTAAAACATCCAAAATAAATCCGTCGTTATTTCGGACAGTAAGTCAACGCGATATGCAATTTCAAGTATACATTTTAAGATTTTAGTTTGTTCGTTCGTTCGACCGAACTCGCGACCTGCGCGAGTTTTTCCCCCCACAAACGTGCGCGCGCATTATTCGCGCATTATTCCTGTGATCGCGAACTAACGATAAAAGACGCGCGGCGAGTCAGTTTCGAGGTTAGGTTCGAGAGAAGGACGATTCTATCGTACAAATATTACGTGCACCATGGTAATATCGTTCTACGTATAAAACGTACGTAGTTCGTATAATACGTATGTAAGTAAAGGGGGTAACGGCCAGCCGTTGAGGAAAGGTAACGATAAAAGAAGAAAACGTAACGCCTCGTGTCGGCGATGATCGCAAAAATCGCCAACTGTTCGACCAACTGTTCGCCTCTCTCTCGACCGATGGCTCGCTACGTATCCGTCATACGCTCGTTGCCAACTCGTTCATTCGATAAATAATAGCCGAACACGATTCGAATCCAATTCGATTTGATTCCGTTTGAATCGTGTTACGCGACGATATCCATGTCGGAGGAAGAGTTGGGCGTGGTCGGCGCCAAACTACCGAGGGTGTCCTCGTCCGGCAGCCCGTGTTGACAACCAGTCTGCGTTGGACTCAACGGCGGTAGATGGGGCGAGGAGAGCATAGGATCGCCGCTATGAATCGGCCCGTTCCCATCGTCCTCCATCAGATCTTCCAGTTGGGACATGCTCAAACTCGTTGCTTCTTCGGTAACCAATTCTGGAATCTGTTCGAATACGAACGAATATATATATATATATGTATATATATATATATAGAGAGAGAGAGAGAGAGATATCGTGTTACATACGATGTTTCGAGAAAGAGCGCGGAGAATGGAAAACTAAGAAAATAAATCTATCTCGAGATGGATATTGAAATCCGCGAAAAAAGATCGTAATAATAGGAGATACGATTCAAATTTTCTCGTTATCTATGCGGAACGATCTTTCCTCGTGGTCGTGGTGGAAGGAAGAGGTGGAAGGAAGAAGAAGAGAGGGGGAGGGGGGGGGGAGAAAAACGATAAGCGACGATAAATACGATTGGGTGATAAACGGGGGAACAATAAGTGGTTGGAAATAGTGGGAGTAAGGGAGAAGAAGAGTATCGTCGGCGGGTATATCGAGTATAAAATTGTCTATTTATGCGTATATAAAGTTGGAAAGAGAGAAGATAGAAGGACGAATAAAGGAACGATATCGTGGTAGTTACATAGTAGTCTGGTGATCGGAACAGATGCGAATTACGAAACCAGTCTCGGGAACGAAGCGAACGTTTATTCGGATCAAGGATCGTGAAACTGTACATCGGTGTAGGTATATCGGCGTTGATCGGGATAACCTTGACGAAAAATTCATAGGAATCGTGGTTAGACAGCACGAGAATACGTACGTTTCGTCGTTATGTAAAAACGGAAGCACGTACGTACATAACTTAAACCGAGAGGAGTAGTATCTATCTATCTCTCTCTCTCTCTCTCTCCTCCCCTCTCTCTTTTTATCGGGAAAAAAATGGAAAAAAAAAAGAAAAAAAAATAAGGAATTAAAGGTTGGATTACCTTGCGATGTTCGAGTTTGTTTCGAGCAAAGGCGTTTAACATGCTACCGGAAGTGGAGGCCCAATTGAAATCGGAAACCGGAAGGCCATGCGCTTTTGCTTGCAATTCCAACTCTTGAACTCGTAAAAGGAGTCGGCGATTCTGATGTTCCAATTGCTTGTGCCTCGCTTCGTTCTGTTTCATTCTTGTCAACTCGTTTTTCAACAATTTTATGTATTCCACCGAGGACTTGAGTATCGTGCCTTTATTCGGCCTAACGTCTCGAACGATTTCGTAATACCTGAAACAAAGCAACCAGCCATGAATCGGTGTTGTCGTTTATTACGTATAAGCATTCGTTCTCTCTCTCTTTTTTTTTTTTTTTTTAAGGCGAAATTTTCTTCCCCTTCACGCGCCTCAGGCTACGATACACGCAGAGATTTCAAAACAAATCTCGAGCAAAATGCAAAATCGTTCCAGCTCGAGGCGCTGGAACAGAGAGGGGTTTAATAAATTGAAAAACGGAATATCTAAACGCATATATCGACGATTTTCGATTTTTCAATTTTCGATTCGAAGAATTATCCGTGTTCGATTCGTGTGTGAATTTCGTAAGAGAATATGAAAGCAAATACGATATATATATATATATATATAATGTTTAACGAGTCGTAAGATACGCCGATACGTGGACGAAAAGAAAAACGGGGTCGTATGGGCATGTTTGCCATGTAATTAGACTCGTTTTGTTATCGAGTCGCGACACCGTAACTTGGTCTACTGTTATCGAGTCGTACTTGGATACTCGCGTCTCTCTTTCGCGCGACACATCCAACAGATTAAAAAGTGAAGAAGAAAATCGTTTCATTCATCCTCCTCGTTCATTTTTCCTCGTTTTGCAAACCGTATGTTTATGTTTGTTTAAAAAAAAAAAGAAAAAAGAAAAACATAACGCAAACGTGTACGAACGCGTACATTACGGAGCGAAAGGAGAGAGAGGAAAGAAAATAATTGGATTCGGAAGGTACTCGATATCGTCGCGTTATCGTCGCCGTATTATCGTCGCGTTGGACGACGATATGACGAGATACAACGTGAGAAGACGCGAAGAAGAGGTAGGAAACGAAAATATAAATTACTTACGGATCGTTAGTTTTAGGTAAAAGAGTGCCGAGCTCTTTGATCCTGTCGTTGATGTTGAACCGTCTTCGTCTCTCGACTGAAAATAATAATAATAATAATTAGCTATCGACGCATTTTGGGATATTTTTACGTGATTGGACAAAGAGGATGGATAGAAAAAAATATAGCATCGCGGTTTTCGACGGGGAGGAAAAAGAAAGGGAATCCTGGTGTTAAATCAATTATTGCAATTGGGACGAGAGTTGGTTTGGACGGTGCTGTTCCGAGGAATACGAATAAATTATTACATGGTTTTTCGCATGCTGCTACTAATTGACAGTAACAGGGTAGCGGAGCGACGATATTGACGCAACAGCCGATCTTGCTTACTTACTCATATTATGATTATCTTTCTTTTGTCGATCTTTGGCAAGCGCATGTATCTCCGCCTCCGTAAGTAACAAAGGTTCCGGTTTGATTTGCAACTCGGGGATATTGGTCAGGCTTCCTGATTGGCTGTCCTTTAAATTATCACCTAGGGAGTTGGCTTCGAACGACAATATGTCGTCTAAGAGATCCTCCGCCTGTAATCGGACAACAAATCAGACGTGACCGAAGAGTAGCGAACGCGTGGTCCATCGTCGGATTCTAAACGACGGATGAAATCGAATGAAACGAAGCCGAGAGATGATAAAACTATCTCATCGATCGTATAACGCTTCGATTCAATTTCTCGAAATATTAACTTCAACATTTCCGTTTTAATCCGACATATACATTCTACATTCTGCGTGTACGTTAACATAACGCTGCTCGTTTCTTCTTCGATCGATTAATTTTTCGATCGATTTCGTTAATTTTGGGAAAAAAAAGTATCGAACGCGATATTTATTAGGGGATAACGACGAATTATTTATTTTTGAACGCAAACAGGGGAAGAGCAGAGAAGAAAGAAAGAAAGAAAGAAAGAAAGAAAGAAAAAAGAAAATGACGAGAATAGGAAACGATGTAAAACGAACGGATCGTGGTGAGATCGCGAGCATCGACGCTCAACGAACGGCGCTTATGCCTGTTCGAGTTGCGTACGTGTACGTTACGTAAACATTACGTAACAATAATAACGAGTAACGTCTGTCCGTGGAAGAACGTGTCGATGGAGGAGCGTGGCACGTCACAAAGGCAACGAAGTGAAACGGAAAGTGAAACGGATGGAAAGATTCGAATTTGTAGTAGCGGAGAAAGTGAAAAGAGATGGGGGGAGGAAATGGAAAGATTCGATCGATTACCTTTCAACGAAATCGATGTTAAAATCGATCGTTTATCGCGCGTTGAGCAAATTATCGACGATAAAATCGACGACTAGAAAATACAATATAACATATACACAGGAAGGAATATACATACATTTAATTGGAATCGCGAATAGTTTGCGTGGATGGAGCAATTATCATAACGGAAGTTGTATCGGGTTTTATGTTTCGTCGTTTCGTCGAAACATACCACGTTGTATCTCTACAGCTGTAGCGTGATAAAACGTGCGTATATCGGCGATATTCGATTTTATATAGATTTTTCGGTTTGGTTTCGTCCTCTGGAAACCAGAGGATGAATAATTTTTGAAGCGAACGTAGGTCGGATAGAAAAATTGTGCTCGATATTGTACGTTCGTGAGGAATGAAACTGGAAGCTGTCCTTGGAATTAGTTGAGAACGATTAAACGAAACCGAAATGAACGAACGGTAGATTTCACGGTAGATTTGCTCCAATTTTTTCAACACGTACGTTTCATCGCGCCTCTCTCTCTCTCTCTCTCTCTCTCTCTCTCTCTCTCTCTCTCTCTCTCTCTCTCTCTCGTTCGTTCGTTC